ATTCATCTATTTATATATCTCTATTAATATCTATTTGTCTGAGTCAGTTCATATCTAATAGAGAAATTTGTTATATAAAAGAACGCATTATAATAACGGCTCTATCTGAGCGTGTGTGTGATTGCAATCAAACGTGACTTGGCTATACCTTACCTTCACCTTCCTTACCCCCACGAACAAATTTTAAAAAAATGCATATGTGGTTGCGTGTGAATTTGGAGTGAAGTGTGTGTATTGAAGTATGTCAAATCTTTAATATTTAATTCCGTTAATGGGAAAAAGTTTTGTGTGACACTTTTTCTATGACTGAACTTTTTGAAACTAACTTTTCCATTACTGAATTTCTGAGATCAAATTTTTAAGACCTATTTTTTTTAAATCAACTTTTATTTACTGAATTTCTAAAACCCAATTTTCTGTGACTAAAACTTTTGAAGACTAACTTTTTTGTTATTGATTGTTTTTCACACAAGAAAATTCGTGACCTTTGAGACCAAGGACCAAGTTTTTTTAATTACCAGAATTTTTTAAACCAATTTTAATTTACTGAATTTTTAAAAACCAATTTTTCTGTGACCGAACTTTTAGAGAGTAATTTTTGGATTACTGAATTTTTAAGTCCAAATTTTTCCTGACCGACCTTATTGAAATCGGATTTTTTCATTACAGAATTCTCTACATCAAAATTTCCCTGACTGTAACTCTTGAGAGACAATTTTAAAAATTTTTTTCCATAACAGAAGTTTCATTACAGAATTCTTTGAAAGCGACTTTCCCGAACACCGTCCACAATTACCAGAAGGGACAAAAAAAAGTCTCAGTTTTATCAACAGCATCGTTCCAAATAGCATATGCACCGAGATAAAAAGCAATTATTTACGTTCAGATGGTTAAAACCGTATCACGTGACAAACGGAAGACGCCGGGTTTGATAACACGCGCAGCAGGGTATCGTCTCGAGACTCGTAGATGTATGGCGAACATGCAGCTATTCTCTGGGGTCAAGCGTGTTAGGTCATCGATAACTAGATTAAATGGGCTAGATGATGAATATTTCAACAAATTTGGACCTTGCTCGCAAAAATGCCAAAAAAAATGGAGTGTCAAAAAGAAAGAATCGACCGTAGTCTGGGTCATCGAGTCAATGCGAACGATCCTTTACTTAGCTGCATAGAATGTGTTTAGGCAGGGTTTTTTTTTTATCGATATCACCCCATGTAAGGCAGTAAAGTCACTAAGACACAAAGGGTTACTGGATGTGGAAGAATCGGGTACAGAAACATTAATAATGAGCAGGAAGAGGAAACAGTAATCAGGATGATAGTAGATGGCGATTGACATTGAATTTTGCATTTTAAAGTTGGCTGGAATACATGGAGCCGGAAGTGAGTTCCACGAGCGGTAAGACACTGTTAGCATAGAATTTACGGTTACATCTTTTGCCAGTTCAAATGTAAATTGATGAGATCTCGACGCCAGTCTAGTACTGCGTTTAAATTTTAAAAGTCTAGGTACCATTGCGTAGAGCGATATTTATTTTGTAATAACATGCAAAAATGTGGCACAGGGCCAAAAAGGAGGAATTGGGAAAGGATAGTCTTCTTCCTTCTCATTAAATTTAGCTCGCCTGACCCAAACATACAACATATTTATTACACCAAAACAATGCATTTTTACTTACCATTTTATTACGTCCACCATAATACCTCAGAATCTCTATGAAGTCCTAACTAGTTTCCATATGTACAATTCTTGTTTGTGGGGGAAGGGAAATAAAACAACAATTTAAAATTCTACCATAGCGAAGAGAACAATTACCATAAAAGTATTTATAGAAAAACATAGGGAGGTAACCTTACGGCGGTAGGAAAGTGACTGAAGCCGAGCTACCAGATCAGGACCTATAATATTGCTGATTCTTCTTTGGATTTTATCAAGGAGCTCAAGGTAAACAGCAGGGGCACCACCGGACAATATGCGGCAGCAATATCCTAAGCATGGGCGTACATACAGTTTTGAATTCAGTTTTCCTTCTCCTAGACTGGTTGCCACACAAGACTTACACGAGAACTACCGACCTTCCAATAGTAGCACTCACTACTGGATTGACTTGTGATGACCTTGTGCATAACTGTTGCCTTTATTCTTATTGTACTGGGTTTTTTTTACAATAAACCTTTACTTATTATATCCACCTTATTTTTCAAGTATATATTCCTATTCGCACGGAATATAATAAATACTTAACTAGTTACCCGGCGTTCCTCTTTTAAACTTTAAGCTTGCATCTTTTCTTTTCTTTTTCTTTTTACAATATCCCCCCTACCTCCACTCTACATTTTGTATTTACACCCAAATAATATATGAAGTTGATATTAACTTTGAGCTTTGAATCTGCGTTTAATTTAGCGTTCCTCACATGAGACCCAGTATTTGAAAAAAAAAAACAACTCTAATAGTTCGTACCTGATGAATTGGCAAAACCACTAAACTTTAAGTTGTACTATCGAACGTAGATATATGTATATTTATTAACATATAATACTTAGCTTTGTCTAACCACGTTGAGAATTGTTTCGTTTACACCTTATATTAAATTAAGTAAATATTTATTCGCTTACCTGTCTATGCACGCAAACGCAAGTACATACATTTATATATATATGTGTGTGTGTGTGTGTACGCACGCACACGAGTGCACACAAGATGTTCTGAGACGTTGTATTTTTTTTAAAGACTAACCAGTGGATCAAATTCTTTTTGGATGTTTCTTTTAGCACCCTTTATATAAGGACATGGTTATCTTCACATGGTTTTCAGAGTTTCCCTGTACATAAAAATATTTTCATTTTTGAAGCTCGTAGTTGACAGGAAACCAAGAAGCCGGGATAGAGTTCCACAAGCGAGAAGTGCGAGAGAATAAACTATTAGCATAGAACTTACGGTTACAATTAGCAATTTCAACAGTAAAATGAAGAGACCGATCTGCCAATCTAGTATTGCATTTAAATTTGTGAAGTCGAGGTACTAAAGAGCCCATCAATTACCATAAAAATATTTATAGAAAACCCGACCATTAAAGGACTTCTTAAGGACTCAAAACTCATGTTTGTTCTTGTTAATTCATATTTATTTACGAAGCGCAACTTTACTGAACATTTTATTTTGCTACTGCAATTTCAAACTCACTATATTGGCAAAATGTTCTGGCTAACTTTTTTCCTCACGGTAAACGCATAGAATAATCATTATTAACTTTTTAATTCTACCATAAATTTTATAATCAATAAATATATCTTATTGAAAGAACATTGATAATTATATTTAATTTATAAATCATATTAATTTGTTATTAAAATTATCATAACATATTTTCATCACACTTTCGGCTACTTATTATTACTTCCTACGCGTCAGGAATGGTCTTGCGTTTTGTTTGTCTCTTGGATTTCCCCAGTTGTCTTTTACTTTGCAAGACGTCGTAGTGATGTCATAGTTAGTAGTGTACACCAATTATTATTATTATTATTATTATTAATAATAATAATAATAATAATTTAATGTACACCCATTACGCTTTTCGAACAGGACTAAATTCGATAGCCATTGCTCATCCAATAACACCTCATTTTATTTATTTATTTATTTCCACTTTGACTTTCTTTTCTTTTTAGTATAACTTTCATTCATTTATTTTTTCTTTCTTCACGCATTCTATTTTTCTTCCCCTTCTTTCATTCATTTATTATTTCTTCCTTTTTATTATAACGTTCTTTCTTTGCTCTCTTTCTTTCTTTTCTTCTTGCTAATATAACTTTCATTCAGTTTTCTTTCGCTAATATCCTCCCCCTGTAGCATTCTTTCTTATTTCTTTCCATTCTTTCATTCATTTATTCTTTATTTCTTTCTTTATTTTCTTGTTTTTCTTCTCACTCTGGCATTATTTTCTTATTTCTTTTCAATCTTTCATTCATTCTTTATTTCCGTCTTTCTTTCTTTTACTCTTGCTTTTACTTCTTTCTTTTTATTATAACCCTTTCTTACTTTCCACTTCTGCTTTCTTTCTTTCTTTCTTTCTTTCTTTCTTTCTTTCTTTCTTTCTTTCTTTCATAACTTCCCCTGTTGCATTCTTTCCTTCTTTCTTTCTATTCTTTCATCATTTATTTTTTCATTCTTTTTTTCTCTCTTTCTACTCTTGCTTTCTTTTCTTATTTGTAGTATAACTTTCATTCATTAATTTTTATATCTTTAATATCTTCCCACTCTTGCATTATTTTCTTCTTTCTTTCTGTTCTTTCATTAATTTATTCTTTCTTTCTTTCATTTATCTTTGTTTTTTCTTCTTGATTTTTATTATAACTTTTTATTTCTCTCTCTTTTTTTCATCTTTTTTCTTTCTTTCTTACCACTTTTGCCTTTCTTTTTTCTTTCTAGCATAACTTTCATTCATTCATTTTTATTTCTTTAATATCTTCCCCTTCTTGCGGTCTTTTCTTCTTTCTTTCTTTCTATTCTTTCATTTATTTATTATTTCTTTCTTTCTAGCTTAACATATTTTTATTGATTTTGCCTAATAATTTTGTATATGACGCACATATGATATCCACAATTTGTTAATAACTGCAAAGATACTAGAGTAATTTTGAAATTTCCACGATTTTCTAATCGTTGTTATTAATATTGAAAATTGAATATTATTAATATTGAAAATGACGACACCTCTGAGTATAACAGTCTAGCGTTTCTTTATGTCCTTGAAAGTCTAGATTCTCTTGAAAACTATGATCGCGAAAAACTGTTGCTGGTAGCAGTTGTTACTTCAGTAACGAAAAGTATCAAAACTGTTTCAGTCAGTAGTTATTTGGTGAAAAATATTTCTGTAAGTGTATGAACCCAACAATCCTTTCCCCCGCCAAAAAAAAACAGAACAAACACACGCAAATATTTTTTTCACCCTCACACGTACTCTGTGCTTGTGTACTCCGTGTGGATTTTCGAGTATGAAGTGTTGTTATCTTTCGGCCTTCGTAGTGGAAAAAGCCAATCCATATTTCGGCACTCGGTCGACAGTCATTGGTCAGCTGGAAATAGTGGGAGATAAGCCCAGACTGGAAACAATTCTTTAATGACCTCCACGTCCTAGAGAATAAGATAAATTGAACAAATTATCAACTAAACAAATATGTGACAGGTATATTGTTTCTTTCTTTCATTCTTTCTTTTTTCTTTCATACTGCTTTTCTTTCTTTCTTACTTTCTTTCTTTCTTTCTTTCTTTCTTTCTTTCTTTCTTTCATACTGCTTTTCTTTCTTTTTTCTTATTCTCTCTCTCGTTCTCTATCCCCAACTCTCTCTCTCTCTCTCTCTCACACACACACACACACACACCCCTCTTTCTTCCTCACAGTTTTGTACAGATTTATCGGAAACGTCTCCGACAAATTTCCTTTTACATTATTTTTGTTAAAAGCATAATTCTTTATTTATTTATTTACTTATTTATTTTCTTTCTTTCTTTCTTTCTTTCTTTCTTTCTTTCTTTCTTTCTTTCTTTCTTTCTGCTTTCCTTCCTTTCTTTCTTTTTATGTATCGTTCTTACTTTTTTTCTTTCTTTCTTTCTTTCTTTCTTTCTTTCTTTCTTTCTTTCTTTCTTTCTGTTTTCCTTCCTTTCTTTCTCTCTCTCTCTCCCTCTTTCTCTCTCTCTCACACACACACACATACGCCTCTTTCTTTCTCACAGTTTCATACACAAATGATTTATCAGAAAAGTCTCCGACATATTTCCTTTTAGTTTTACATTATTTTTGTTAAAAGCATAATTCTTTCTTTCTTTCTTTCTTTCTTTCTTTCTTTCTTTCTTTCTTTCTTTCTTTCTTTCTTGTGTTAAAGTTTGTATTTTTTTTTTTAAAGAGAAGAATATCAACTCGAATCTCAGTCATGCATGTTCCTGTTGCGGGGCTCGAAATAAACACTACTACTATAGACATCACATAATTACGTCTTAAAAAACAACCGTTGAAAGATATTAACAACAATTAACAAAAAACCGCATGAAATGGCTAAAGAAGTAGCCAAAAGAGCTTGGAACAATAAACACTATGGAGATTATTTAAACTCCTTTACGCCCATTAAAAGTAAAAAAAAAAAATTAAGAATACTAGAAAAACGCAATAAAAATTCATCAAATTTTCCTTGTCTGTCACATTCAACGAAACACACACACACACACACACACACATACATACATATATATATATATATATATATATATATATATATATATATATATATATATATAATAAAAAGGCTTAAACACTAATATTCCATGGTCATAATTTATTCCATTGGAATCGTAAATACGATCCAAATCATCAGACCTACAAATTCAAAATGAAAACAGAAAAAAACAACTCCGGAAATCAAAACAGAATTTAGAGAAAGTGTAAGTATGAGGAGGAGTGACATGAAACCTTAACAGAGAGATTTTTTGGAGATGTGACCTTCCTGACGTCATAAATTCCCAAGATGGCATCTACGCGGATGGCACCACAATTTATTCCTGCCTCAAAAACAAATCTAGTGTCACTGACAAAACTAACCTGGCCGTGCGTCTCGAAAAGGACACCAAATCGGTTGTGAACTGGGGCAGGAATTGGCTGGTCAACTTTATTGCCTCAAAAACAAAACTGCTCTCTATTAATCACCACAGAGATCTTTCCCTGTCCCCCATTAGAATGTCTGACGCTCAACTTCCCGAAAGCGCCTCTCTGCGGCTTCTCGGTCTCACGTTGTCTACTGACCTGAGATGAAACAAATACATTGAGTCAATTGCTTCGTCCACCGCAAGGAAAGTTGGCTCCCTGTGCCGCACCAGGAAACTTTTTAATATAATTGGCCCTGCTCTGGCATCTCGTCTACAGTCACTCTCTCACAGACGCGCCGTCGCCTCTCTCTGTCTGTTTTACAAATACTTTCATGGCATTTGCTCCGAGGAGCTGCATTCGCTGGTTCCCAGAATTCATGAGCAAGCGCCCTATGAGGCTGGCATCCTGCTCTCACCCTTTCACTGTCGAAACTCCTAAATGTAGCCGTCTCTTCTACTCCAATAGCTTCATGTCTCGCACCTCTCGCCTATGGAACTCCCTTCCCTATTCCAGTTTCCCTGAGAGCTATAATCTCCAGCTATTCAAATGTAATGTCAATCGACATCTCCAGTTGCCTTGATCTATCCACTACCCTTCTCCTCATTCTTTCTTCTATCACTCCTATCTGATCTTGCCCCAAATTTTCTGTAACCCCTTGCGTCATAGTGGCTTCTCGCCTTAAAATCAGTCCAATTATTGGAACACCCTTTATATATATATATATATATATATATATATATAGTCAATGATAAACAAAAGAAAAATTGCGACTCGAAATGCATTTCTTACAATTTCTAAAATTATGGCCTCTTTCTTAAAAAAGGGTTAAATGTTATGCTAAAATATAAATATAGAATTATTCGTGTCAGTGTATAAGTAATGTAACAAAACTAATGCATTAAATGTTTCTAATATACCAATTCCTATGGATAATAGACATTCTTAATAAAGTAAGTAAATTTACCAAAACACTTATAAAAATAGAACAAAAAACAATGGTTGTATACATTAACTTAAAAAAAGAAAAACATGTATTTTAATAATTAAATATTTTAAATGCCTAATAATATAACAAAATTATAATAAACAGAAAAATACAAGAATAAAAAAATGAATAATTAATAACTTCCCTTTTTTAAAATACGACATTGCTTTTTTTGCAATGAATTATTTATTATTATTTATATCACTTTAAATGTTATTTTTAGTGACGAAATTTACAGTAAACTTTGGAGGAGAAAATATCTATATTTACCTTTCCAGACCAACACAAATGACTAAATAAATGATCAGAACTTATTTGAAAATGTAAAAACGAAAACAAATTTTCACTACTTAAAAGTCGAAAATTAATAACTAAAATCTTGCAAAATATCACCAAATATATTTACAAGCGAGATGCCAGCCTGGAAGCACGTTTAAATTTATGCAGTCCGGAAACCAGCGAAAGTAGCTGGTCAGAACAGTTGCTGCGAAAATATTTGTAGAAGTGACAGGGGGAGGTCACTGTGGGATAGCGCTTGTAGACTAGATGCTAGATCAGAACCTATCATCTTGCATATTCGTCTCTGGATTTTGTCAAGGACCTCGTGACGTACAGCGGGAGCACCAGACTATATATGACAGCAATATTCCATGCAAGGACGCATGGTTGATTTATAGGATGGACTCAGACGAGAAAAAACTTTCTGGCACGACACAGAGAGTCAACTTTCCTTGCGGTAGATGAAGCTATTGATTCAATGTATTTATTCCACCTCATGTCAATGCACAGCGTGAGACCAAGCAGGCGTAACGAGGCGCTCTCGAGGAGTTGGGAATCAGTCAAACCGATGGGAGGCAGGAAGGGTTCTCTGTGGTGGGTAATGGAGAGCAGTTTCGTTTTGGAGGCATTAAAGTTTACAAGCTATTTCCTGTCCCAGTCAACTTCAGATTGGAGGTCATTTTCGAGATCAGTCAGTTTTGACAACGATACCAGATTTACTATCGAGGCAGGAGTAAATAGTAGCGTCGTCCGCGTAGATGCCAATTTGGGAACTGATGACACCGGGAAGGTCATTGATGAAGATCAGGAACAGTGTAAGACCCAAGATAAAGCCTTGGGGGACATCAGCTTTTGTGATAAAAGAGCCGGAGGAGAACCTGTTTAGAATGAACTTCATTTCACGGTTTGACAGGAATGATTGAATTAAGTTAAATAATCGTTCTGTAATATCGTATTCCTGAAGCTTACGAAGAAGGCCGGCATGCCAAACCCTACCAAACGCTTTAGAGATATCTAGAGCCACTGCTCGAGTTTCGCCATTATTGTCAAGAGCTTGGTATACAACTTGAGTTATGACCGTAAGCACGTCAGCGATAGACCGGGCAAAGCGGAAACCATATTGTTTGTCAGAGAGCAAATCATGGGATGGAAAGTGCTTAACCGCTTCGGTGTTGATTAAATCCCCGAAGATTTTGCCGAGGAGTGGTAAGAGACTGATAGGACGATAGTTAGATGGGTCAGAAGGTTCTCCAGAGTTCTTAAAAACAGGGACAACATATGAGAACTTCCAACAGGCTAAAAAAACAAGAGTCAGCGAGGCAGTAGTTGTAAAGTTTAGACAATAAAATCTAAAATTACCTCATTCGGCAGACGAAGATATCGGTCGTCTGTCTTATCGATCCCAGTGTGGACTGAGTTTGTGTCTATAATTATAGTGGGTGCAGGAAGTAGAATTTAAGAACCTTTTTACTGTATATATATATATATATATATATATATATATATATATATATATATATATATTAACGATCTTGCTAATTTTAAATAGGTTTATAATAAAGTTTTGTGCTAAACTGCCGTAGAAATGTATGAAAGAAATGATGAAGGCTGCTTATGGAAGATAGAAGTTTTAAGGAGATCGAGGATATGAAAGAGGCTGTGAGGAGGACCCTGCACGCATTGCACTGCCGATAGCTTGGGGGTAGAATCTCTGACTGATGTCAAATCGGTCGGGTTTTGAACCTGGCTTGAAACAATTGGATGTCTTGCCACACTGATGATCTGTGATACAGCGAAGCAGTCTGTCTGTGGATGACTATATATATATATATATATATATATAGGGTATCAAAAGACAATTGGAAAAAATCTTACATTTTGTTTCGTCTTCCGACTTTTTCAAGGCAAAAATGAAATCGAAATGTCTTTGTTTTTATAGTTAAATTAAAAATCCAAATTTAAAAAGATAGACGCTTTTGTCTAAGCCATTTTTTTCTGGCTAATGTAAATTACCTTTATAGTAAGGGATTATTATTATTATTTTCCAATTATCTTTTGATACTAATCTGTCTTGTCCACAGAATTCATCTGGGAATATATAATATATATATATATATATATATATATATATATATTGATGAGCTGTGATACAATCTGTCTGCGAATGACAATATATATTGTCATCCACAGCCAGACTGTTGCAGCTCATCAGTGTGGCTAGACATCTGGTTGCCTCTAGCTAGGATTTAAACCCGACTGAATTGGCGTCAGCCAGGGATTCTACCACTAAGCCGTTGGTGAAGGTGAATTCAAGCGTATTTATTTTTTAGATAAACACAGAGACTGAGAGAAATCGATTTGATTTACCGAAAATCTTGCATTATTAGACATAATAGTCACATTTTTCAAACCCACGCTTCCTCCCCAGAGAGCTCAACTGAAATAAATTTTTCAGGAACATAAGCATCGACAATGATAAAATTAATATTGGGTCTATTTTACTAACTGGACGAAATAATTGAAAAAATAGTCATTTTCTATAATCGTTCATAAATTTTGAAAGTGTTCTCACATTCGGTTATGTTTTACGTCTGGCACAAACGCATAGACCTAACTGCATTTACGGTACCTCCTCTACAAAAATATTTGCAATAGCTGTTCTAAATTACGAAGTAGGACTTAATAAAAATTTAAAAATCACGATTTCCTTAATGTCAATTACTGGCGTCATTTGAGGAACTAGCGACATTGTAGTTGTCTTAATTTATTTTAAGATTCTCAAATTAAGAGCAGGATACAATTTCTCACCCGAGAACTTTTGGATTAGAAATGCATGAGAATTTGAATTTTTATTTGATTTCAAAATGGTAATAAGATACTTTTCAGAAATTAACATAGGATCGGCTAATAAAACAGACAACAAAGAAAGGGGTGCTGTTCTCCTATGCCATGTCTAACCTCTTCAATGTGTTTAAGAAT